TTCAATAAGAAAAACCTATATCAGACAGCTACAGAATACTCTAGTTATATTGTGCTATGTATCTTAATGCCAATTCAGAATAGTAGTAGCTGTATTATGTAAGCAGCCTTTGAATATGGAAGCATCAACAATCTTGCTCAACTCCAAGAGGACCAGACCTTGGCATTCCTATGCAGTAGAGGCAGCATTTAAAATTGTTCCCAGTGCCCTCTAAATCTTATTTTTCCCCAGCCAAGGCAGACTCAAGTGGGGTGGGGATAAAAGATGATAGCTTGAGGCCTAAGGGTCCAACCCTGTAAATTACACTAGGGGATATAACGGAAGGTTTTTGAAGCTCACAGTCTCTGACTGATACTTTGGGTCAGCTTCAACTCTGTATCCCACTAGTTTCTAGAGAAAACAGGTAGAGACCTTAGGGAATCCCAATGTCCAGATCTGTCACCACCTCTTAGGTAAAACAGGGTAAATCTAAGAAGTTTGGGAATGGGTAGGAAAAAATGAGTGACCCTACCCATTGTTCCTTTGCTAAAGGAACTGATGACCCTCTGATGACTTGGCCTTAGAAACAGAAGCTCCACGGACAGGTAAGATGGAAAAAGAAGGTGAATTTACACCCCCAAAGAGCTGGAAGTAACACCTTGACTATCTGCATTACGCCAGCAGATGAAACTCAGACTCCAGCTCAGCCAAAGGCCTGGAAAGGAAACACAAATGCAAGAAAAATAACTTGAACCTCATGGTTCTTTCACAAGTCTGGCTGAAGTCAGAGGTAAGAGTCATGTATCATTTGTAGCACTCTTTCTCTTTTCTTATTTACGGATGCTTACTCTTCTGAGGTTTAACCTTACATAAACTCCGCTTAGCTGCAGAAGCAAGACAGCACCGGGATCTCAGCGTGAATGTGGAGAAACCCCACACTGCCTCCCTGAATTCTTTTCTGGGTTCCCACCTGATTGACGTTCTCCAGCTCTTCCGCGCCTCATAACCCTTTATGCTATTCTTAAGATATGCATCGTAATTCCTTCTATTGTGGGTTATTTCTGCGCGTGCCTTAGCGGCCAGAAGACTCACGTGCATCTCCCCAAAGCCCCCACCCCGAAGCGTGGCTAAGGGTGGGCGCGTCAGTAATGCGGGTGGAACAGAACAGGATCCTCCAAAGTCTTTTTCCACCTCTGATTTCCGTTAAACACTTGCTCTGGGGGCTGAGAGCAGCCTCCGCACGGCCGGTCTCCCCATTCGAGGCTGGACACCAAGGACCTCCGCGGAGGGCTGAGGGCGCACTTCCTGCCCGGCGGGGCGGGGCGGGGCGGGGCGGGGCCTCGGGGCCGCCCACCTCTCCTCCCCCCTTCCTCCTCACCCCTTCTCCCCCTCACCCT